CAGTGATAGGCGACTCGGAGGAGAGTTTTCTCACTGTTTTCAAAATACCCAGAGTGGTGTTAAAGGATGACTCACTGCTCTATGAACAATACCCGTCTATGTGCTCAGCGATCGGCAACTCGGAGGAGAGTTTTCTCACGGTTTTCAAAATACCCAGAATGGTGTTAAAGGATGACTCACTGCTGTATGAACAATACCCATCTATGTGCTCGGCGATCGGCGACTCGGAGGAGAGTTTTCTCACGGTTTTCAAAATACCCAGAATGGTGTTAAAGGATGACTCACTGCTGTATGAACAATACCCGTCTATTTGCTCAGCGACGGCGACTCGGGGAGAGTTTTCTCACTGTTTTCAAAATACCCAGAGTGGTGTTAAAGAATGACTCACTGCTGTATGAACAATACCCGTCTATGTGCTCAGTGATCGGCGACTCGGAGGAGAGTTTTCTCACTGTTTTCAAAATACCCAGAGTGGTGTTAAAGGATGACTCACTGCTGTATGAACAATACCCATCTATGTGCTCAGTGATCGGCAACTTGGAGGAGAGTTTTCTCACGGTTTTCAAAATACCCAGAGTGGTGTTAAAGGATGACTCACTGCTGTATGAACAATACCCGTCTATGTGCTCGGCGATCGGCGACTCGGAGGAGAGTTTTCTCACTGTTTTCAAAATACCCAGAGTGGTGTTAAAGAATGACTCACTGCTGTATGAACAATACCCGTCTATGTGCTCGGCGATCGGCGACTCGGAGGAGAGTTTTCTCACGGTTTTCAAAATACCCAGAATGGTGTTAAAGGATGACTCGCTGCTGTATGAACCATACCCGTCTATGTGCTCGGTTCGGTGACAGCGACTCGGGGAACAGTTTTCTCACGGTTTTCAAAATACCCAGAGTGGTGTTAAAGGATGAGTCACTGCTGTATGAACAATACCCGTCTATGTGCTCGGCGACGGCGACTCAGGGGAGAGTTTTCTCACGGTTTTCAAAATACCCAGAGTGGTGTTAAAGTATGAGTCACTGCTGTATGAACAATACCCGTCTATGTGCTCGGCGACGGCGACTCGGGGGAGAGTTTTCTCACGGTTTTCAAAATACCCAGAGTGGTGTTAAAGGACGACTCACTGCTGTATGAACAATACCCGTCTATGTGCTCGGCGACGGCGACTCAGGGGAGAGTTTTCTCACGGTTTTCAAAATACCCAGAGTGGTGTTAAAGGATGAGTCACTGCTGTATGAACAATACCCATCTATGTGCTCAGTGATCGGCAACTTGGAGGAGAGTTTTCTCACGGTTTTCAAAATACCCAGAGTGGTGTTAAAGGATGACTCACTGCTGTATGAACAATACCCGTCTATGTGCTCAGTGATCGGCAACTTGGAGGAGAGTTTTCTCACGGTTTTCAAAATACCCAGAGTGGTGTTAAAGGATGAGTCACTGCTGTATGAACAATACCCGTCTATGTGCTCGAGGATGGCAACTTGGAGGAGAGTTTTCTCACGGTTTTCAAAATACCCAGAATGGTGTTAAAGGATGAGTCACTGCTGAATGAACAATACCCGTCTATGTGCTCGGCGATCGGCGACTCGGAGGAGAGTTTTCTCACGGTTTTCAAAATACCCAGAGTGGTGTTAAAGGACGACTCACTGCTGTATGAACAATACCTGTCTATGTGCTCGGCGACGGCGACTCGGGGGAGAGTTTTCTCACGGTTTTCAAAATACTCAGAGTGGTGTTAAAGGATGACTCACTGCTGTATGAACCATACCCGTCTATGTGCTCGGCGACGCCGACTCGGAGGAAAGTTTTCTCACGGTTTTCAAAATACCCAGAGTGGTGTTAAAGGATGACTTGCTGCTGTATGAACCATACCCGTCTATGTGCTCGGCGACGGCGACTCGGGGACTCGCTGCTGTGGGCACATGCGCCAACCCCCCCTCTCAGAGCCCTCTCTGTGGGCACGTGCGCTGCCCCCCACTCAGAGCCGTCTCTGTGGGCACGTGAGCCGCCCCCCCCAGAGCCCTCTTTGTGGGCACGTGCGCCGACCCCGCCTCTCAGAGCCCTCTCTGTGGGCACGTGAGCTGCCCCCCCCCAGAGCCCTCTCTGTGGGCACGTGAGCTGCCCCCCCTCAAAGCCCTCTCTGCGGGCACGTGAGCCGTCCCCCCCTCTCAGAGCCCTCTCTGCGGGCACGTGCGCCGCCCCCCCCTCAGAGCCCTCTCTGTGGGCACGTGAGCAGCCCCCCCCTCAGAGCCCTCTCTGCGGGCACGTGAGCTGCCCCCCCCTCAGAGCACTCTCTGCGGGCACGTGAGCCGTCCCCCCCTCTCAGAGCCCTCTCTGTGGGCACGTGAGCCGTCCCCCCCTCTCAGAGCCCTCTCTTTGGGCACGTGCGCCGCCCCCCCTCTCAGAGCCCTCTCTGTGGGCACGTGAGCCGTCCCCCCCTCAGAGCCCTCTCTGTGGGCACGTGTGCCGTCCCCCCCTCTCAGAGCCCGCTCTGTGGGCTCGTGCGCCGACCCCCCCTCACAGAGCCCTCTCTGTGGGCACGTGCGCCGACCCCCCCTCTCAGAGCCCTCTCTGTGGGCATGTGCGCCGACCCCCCCTCACAGAGCCCTCTCTGTGGGCACGTGAGCCGTCCCCCCCTCTCAGAGCCCTCTCTGTGGGCACCTGCGCTGCCCCCCCACTCAGAGCCCTCTCTGTGGGCACGTGAGCCGTCCCCCCCTCAGAGCCCTCTCTGTGGGCACTTGAGCTGTCCCCCCCTCTCAGAGCCCTCTCTGTGGGCACGTGCGCCGACCCCCCCTCACAGAGCCCTCTCTGTGGGCACGTGAGCCGTCCCTCCCTCTCAGAGCCCTCTCTGTGGGCACGTGCGCCGACCCCCCCTCACAGAGCCCTCTCTGTGGCCACGTGAGCCGTCCCCCCCTCTCAGAGCCGTCTCTTGGGGCACGTGCGCTGCCCCCCCTCAGAGCCCTCTCTGTGGGCACGTGCACTGACCCCCCCTCACAGAGCCCTCTCTGTGGGCACGTGCGCCGACACCCCCTCTCAGAGGCCTCTCTGTGGGCACGTGAGCCACCCCCCTCTCAGAGCCCTCTCTTTGGGCACGTGCGCTGCCCCCCCCTCAGAGCCCTCTCTGTGGGCATGTGAGCCCCCCCCCAGAGCCCTCTCTTTGGGCACGTGCGCCGACCCCCCCCTCAGAGCCCTCTCTGTGGGCACGTGCGCCGACCCCCCCTCTCAGAGCCCTCTCTTTTGGCATGTGCGTAGCCCCCCCCTCAGAGCCCTCTCTGTGGGCACGTGCGCCGACCCCCCCTCTCAGAGCCCTCTCTGTGGGCACGTGAACCGCCCCCCCCTCAGAGCCCCCTCTGTGGGCACGTGCGCCGACCCCCCCTCACAGAGCCCTCTCTGTGGGCACGTGCGCCGCCCCCCCCTCTCAGAGCCCTCTCTGTGGGCACGTGAGCCGCCCCCCCCTCAGAGCCCCCTCTGTGGGCACATGAGCCGTCCCCCCCTCTCAGAGCCCTCTCTGTGGGCACGTGAGCCGTCCCCCCCTCTCAGAGCCCTCTCTGTGGGCACGTGAGCCGCCCCCCCCTCAGAGCCCCCTCTGTGGGCACGTGCGCCGACCCCCCCCTCAGAGCCCCCTCTGTGGGCACGTGAGCCGTCCCCCCCCCTCAGAGCCCTCTCTGTGGGCACGTGAGCCGTCCCCCCCTCTCAGAGCCCTCTCTGTGGGCACGTGAGCCGTCCCCCCCTCTCAGAGCCCTCTCTTTGGGCACGTGCGCTGCCCCCCCTCTCAGAGCCCTCTCTGTGGGCACGTGCGCCGACCCCCCCTCTCAGAGCCCTCTCTGTGGGCACGTGCGCCGACCCCCCCTCTCAGAGCCCTCTCTGTGGGCACGTGAGCCGTCCCCCCCTCTCAGAGCCCTCTCTGTGGTCATGTGCGCCGACCCCCCCTCTCAGAGCCCTCTCTTTGGGCACGTGCGCCGACCCCCCTCTCATAGCCCTCTCTTTGGGCACGTGAGCCGTCCCCCCCTCTCAGAGCCCTCTCTGTGGGCATGTGCGCCGACCCCCCCTCTCAGAGCCCTCTCTGTGGGCACGTGCGCCGTCCCGCCCTCTCAGAGCCCTCTCTTTGGGCACGTGAGCCGCCCCCCCTCTCAGAGCCCTCTCTGTGGGCATGTGCGCCGACCCCCCCTCTCAGAGCCCTCTCTGTGGGCACGTGAGCCGCCCCCCCTCTCAGAGCCCTCTCTGTGGGCACATGCGCCGCCCCCCCCTCAGAGCCCCCTCTGTGGGCACGTGCGCCGACCCCCCCCTCAGAGCCCTCTCTGTGGGCACGTGAGCCGTCCCCCCCCCCAGAGCCCTCTCTGTGGGCACGTGAGCCGTCCCCCCCTCTCAGAGCCCTCTCTGTGGGCATGTGCGCCCTCACCCCAGCTCAGATTGGAGAGAATATCAGGGCTTGTGGTATGTCATTTTGTACTTTTTAAGTATGAAATCTTATATGAATCGGCACAAACAGCATTGGGTATTCCGCGACTGGGGACCTGGAGAAGACACTGAGCTGTGGGTCCTATTGGGGGGGGGTTTCCTGGTGAGGGGACTCCCAAGGCAGGATCTGGGAGGGAATCTGGGACAGATCCCTTTCCAACCCTACGGTGAGGCACATGGGCTGCCTTTCCTCAACTCCCCCCTCATTCCTCAGCTGCCCAGATCAGAGATGGGCAGTTCAGGATGGAGGTCTACACTTCCAAAGAGTCGCATATCGAGTAGACCCACTGGAAGGAGTCAGGTTTACCTGAAACCTGACCGATTCTCACGCCAGCCCGCCTACATCTCCCAAACTCAAATTTGCTTTCCCTTGCCAGACAACATGAGAATTCCGAGGAAGCAAAGATCCCCCTTGACCTGTGAAGAAGGAGCGGTGAGACAGTTGTGACAGCTGAGCTCCCCCCCACACTTTGAGCAACGCTGCCCCACAAAGCATCTTTCCTTGACAGCCGATATCCTGCAAAGACTCACTGTAACCAGATCTCTTTTGGAATCCCCTTGATCGTTCCCTTGGATGATAAAGCGCTTTTTCTGTATTTTCAGGCACTCTTGGCACCCCCTGATCCCAGGGGGCTTCTGCATAAGAAGAAGGAGCTGCCACCGAGACCCTCCCCCACACACGCGGTTCAGGCTGCAGGCAATTCCTCTGCAGAGGTGGCTGTCAGAGGACGATCCCCGCTTCTCTTCCACAGTCATCTCCGATCCCAGGATTCTCAGACTGGATCTGAAGACAGGCCTCACACTGGAATCCATCCTGAGCTGGAAAAGCAGCAGAGATCAATTCAGACGGTTGGTCACCATCGGGGCTCGGGGTGTCGGTGCTGGGGCATTTGCTCCCCATCCAGTTTCCCTCCCAGGGTCCTTCCTGAGGACCTCCCAGGTCCCTGACAAAACGCAAGGACGGCAGAGCCTCACCTGAGACTAGAGAAAGGCCCAGTTGCACCTTCAGATACAACCCTCTCGGGGCTTCCTTTGCACCTGCGAAGGGACATCCGAGATGAAAACATTTTTTTAAATTTTATTTTTAGAATTTTATTCATACATGAATCATAATATATAATATATACCAATATACACAATACAAACAATTAACACGTGCTCCCCCACCCCTCGGGGGATCATTCCTGCTTCCAAAATCTTAAAGCTTCTTCCGGTGGTGGTGTCCCCCTTCCTCCAGAAAACACATATATTAGGAACTATTCCCAGATTCCATTGAATTCATTCACTTTCATTGTGCCCCTCTTTACTTTAATATTACATGTCAGTTTATCATTTATGGCAATATCCCATACTTCCTTATACCATTCTTCCAAACAATAATCACCTCGTGTCTTCCAGTTCCTAGAAATCATTAACCTTGCTGCAGTCAACAAATTTATTATCAACTCTTTAGTTTCTTTTTTTACACTTTATATCTTCCAATTAGAGTAATGCTACCTTTGGTGCCTCTTCTACCTTTATTCCTACAATTTCTTCCATCTCCTTAAACACCATCTTCCACAATTTTTACACAAATTTACAATCCCACCACATATGTAAATACGTTCCTTTTCCCCCACAACCTCTCCAACAGTTATCTGAATAGCGCTGATTCATATTGCTTAATCTAACCGGAGTTAAGTACCACCTCCATACCATTTTATAATAATTCTCTTTTATTCTTACTGACATATTTCTCAACACTCTTTGTTGCCAAATTCTTTCCCAACTCTGTTGCCCAATTTGTATCTTCAAATCGGTTTCCCATACCATCTTTCCTAAATTTTCCCTCTCCTCTTCCTCCAACAATATTTTATAAATTCCACTCATTAAGCCTTTTATCTCTTTATTTTCTTCCTTTACAGTTTCATTTTTTTCAATTAATTCCTCGAACCTCGTTAACTCTCTACACTCTCCATTTTCTCTTATCCAGTTTTTAGTCCAATGTTCCACTTGGCTGTAATTTAACCAAGACAACCGTTTTCCTCCTAAAACCTCTTCCAATTCCCCAGGCGTCCTCATTCCTCCTAACCATTCCTTTAGTTTCATTTTATTTTTCTCTTTTAAAATTTTATTCACTTTATTCTTCAAATTCCCTGGGAACTTTTCCAAGATTACTCCCACTTCCATTCTACTCAACTTAGTTGCCATATCCCTAGAAACGAAAACATAATCAATTCTAGAATAAGATTTATAAGTTGGGGAATAGTATGTGAAACCGGGCTCCCCACCTTTAAGAAAATGCCATCCATCCACATAATCTTTTTCTTTTATTAATTTATTTAAAATGGTGATATTATTCCTCCTTTCAGCACTTGTGGGATTGGTCCTGTCCAATCTATTATTCATAACCATATTAAAATCTCCACCTAAGATGACATGTCCTTCTTTAAATTCTTCTATTACTTTAAACAATTCTAAAAAAAATTATCTATGTCTCACATTTGGGGCATAAACATTAACCAACCTATATGCTGTACTTTCAATTTGACCTTTAATCATAATAAATCTATCATGCCCATCTTTTTTTGTATTCTCCATAGTAAATCCAGTTCTTTTAGACATCAGTATGGCCACCCCATTTTTTTTTTGAAGTCCCCAGTGACTTTTCATACTTTGGTTTCTCTTCAGATCGTATAAATCTTTCGCCTTTTACTAGAGATGAAAACACACACAGATACAGACACGACGGTCCACGCCTCCCTTCAAACCCCGAGGGAGGGACCCAAGGAGTCCTGGTCCTCCCCAAACTTGACCTCCGAATCTGGGGGGCCCTGGTCATCCAAGATGCCAGTCTGGGTCCCTCCGCACAAGTTTAGCTGTGGGCCGATCCTCCTCTCCCTTTCAAGGGATGGCGATCTCAGATGGGGGAAGAGCTGCAGCGAGGAAGGTGGAAAGGAGGGAATCCAGCTGGTTCTTCCATGGCTAAAGCCTCAGTGGCCGGAGGGAGGTCCAGGATCACGCTTTCCCCAGCTGGATTTCTCGGAAGCCCCCTTAGGCCGGCTGGGCATGTCGTGGCATCGCTGGAGTGGGTGTGGGGGGAATGAGGTGGCATTTTCCCCTATTTGAGGGAGATGGAGGAGCGGAGGGGGTGTTAGGCGCTCCTGGCAGCTCCTTCCGCAGGTGGTTTTTGACGGAGTGGATCCCGCCGCTTTACGCTTTATTTTTCTTCCTGGAATTTGGATACCCCGCACCCGAATCACCGAGACACTCTGGGCGGTGTGTAATTTAAAGAGGAAATTTAATTCATTTAGTTTAATTAATTCAATTTATATGCCGCCCCTCTAGGAAGACTCAGGGCGGCTCAGAATACATTTTTAAAAAATCATTATAAAAAGACATTGAAAATTTAAAAAACATTAAAAACTCATCCGCGCCATTCATGGCCGGATCTCGCCAGATCACAAGAGCGTGATCAACGGCCCCAGGCCTGCCGAAAACCGAAAGCCGCGTAAAACTGGGATGCATGGAGAAAAGGATCCCTTGGGGGGCCGCTCCGAGGCGCCCCCTCCCCTCTCCCTGAGTGCCCGCAGGCACGTCGGAGCCCCAGCGGCTCCCGCTGCCCCACCGCCCCTTCTGCGGGAGAGGACGGCCGACTCACCGTTCTGCATGTCTTCTTCTTCTCCGCGCGGCCGAAACCTCCGAATCCACAGCAAACGCTCAAGTGTCTCGCAGCCACGATCCGCACCGGCTTAAATAGGTGCCCGGAGGCTCCTCCCGCCACGGGCTGCGATTCCGTCGTCACGACTCCACCTCCGGTACCTCGACGAAGGCTCCTCCGACTCCACCCTTTGGACCAGGGCTGTCAAACTCAAGGACCGCGGGGCAGCCATGGATACGGCCAGTGACTGGCCCGCGGTGCCCCTGCCAGCGAAATGGAGCTTGGGACGGTCGTGCGGGGGGGGGGCGGCTTTTCGCTGGCAGAGAGATAGGAAAATAAAAGCAAAAGCAAACGGAGAAATGTCGCTTCCTTTGATCTCCCGCAGTAAGACCCGAGCTTTTTTTTTTCGGCTGCCAAGAATAAACTTTGATAACAGCCTTGCTTAAAATCTCGAACCAATGGAACGTCCTGCTACTTTAATCTAACTGACCTTCCATCCCTAGAAAATACTAATCGAATAATGTATATTTTTACACTGAGATTTCCTTTTACTTGAAATATGAATGTATGACAGTTGAAGCATACGAGGAAAAACATTGGCCACAAAATATAGTAAATTCATATTCGTATTTGATTATATTTGTAGAATCTGACCAATAAATAAATTTGTATCGGCTTCTTTGTAACTGTAGGAAACTTTTTAAAATATCAAGTAACAGACATAGGATTATCATGGGGCAGAGTGTATCACAGCTCTTTTGAGGGAACAAATTTTCCGCAGTTGTTCAATGAAATATTTAAAAAATTAAAAGATCCCAATGGAGAAAATCTGCAGTCATTGAGCCTCGTTGTGTCCATGAAAAAGTGCATTAATTTGTCTTTCTTAAATTCACCGTTAACAGCAGCAACTAACCTTTCTAAATAATCACAGAATTGGGGTCCTCCGAATCAGGTGTGTGTGGACACATACATGTGTGTCTGTGTGTGTCTGTGTTTGGGAAAGGCTGTCGGTGGGTACAGAAGCCCCCTTGGATTCAGGCTAGGCAGGCTCCATCCTTGGTCTGGGAATCCTGATCCGAGGAGACATTGGAGAGCCCTTCAAGGCGGTCCAGACAACATCAGGAGAATGAATAGGAGCTCCATCTCTCACTGTAAGATGACAATACAGAATCTTTCTCACCTTTTCCTCCCTGGGAAACAAGGGAGTTCTTTCGGAAACGCTTTCCTTGGAATCCCCCCCCCCCAAAGTCCTCTCGAGATGACCAAGGTATCTCTTCCCTGAGGTTGCGGATCTTCCCCGCCCCCCGCCCCCCCCCCTCCGGTCATTCCCAGGTCCCATCGCCCGCATCCCAACGCCTGTTTCCTAGACGCCTTTTCTCAGGGACTGTTTGTAAAGAAAAAAAGGCCAGACTTGCACTCAAGAAAATTTGGTCTATTGTCAGTGAGAAGAAACAACATCAGCCGCAATGGAAAGGTCGCTTTCATCCATCATTAGACGTTGGCAGCCGAAAAAACTGCATCTGCACGCTGAATTTGAATTTTCTGTACGCACCAAGGTTGGTATTGGTGAAAAAACAGAAACTCCGGAAAGAAAACTGAATCTGCGCGCTGAATTTTCTGTACACAGGGACGCTGGAATTGGTAAAAAAGCAGAAACTCAGGAAAGAAAACGGCATCTGCATACTGAATTTTCTGTAGGGGCACAGGCTTTGCCTTATTCAATCGTCCTGCTACATAGGTCGAGGCCTCCAGCGGCCCGGGTGTTGCATTCATTCTGGTGGGCTTCTCATGGGAGGTCCAGTTTAGGAAAACACAGGACAAGTGTTTTCTCGGGATGAGAGAGCCCAGAGCTGACTCCCTCACCCTCTTTTATTAGTTATCCAAATACAGCGTCATCAGAAGGCGTTATTATGGCTACACATCTCATATTACATACAAGAGATAGAAAAACATCCATATATTCTCCATAAGTTTCACATTCTTACCTATTACAGTAAATCACGTGATTTCTAGGAAAGCGATACTTAAGGTAAAAACAAAACTCTGGCTATTTGCGAGGGGCCCCATCTCCTTTATCTGATTACTTCACTTCTCAGGAATGTTCTGCAAGGAGATAGGAGATGTCTCTGCCTTTGCAGGCACAGCCTATGTTATTAACAAAGAGAGAACGAATAGGGCCCTTCAGAGAGTATCCATATGAACCCGCTTTTCATAGTCAGATTATTTCGGTGCTAAGCTCCATACACGTGTCCAACCAGTTAAACTGGTCTATACATGTACTATGGCCACTGCATTCCCACACCGGGGAGAAGGGTTTTCTATGGTTTGTGTTATGTTGGGTGAATGAGGAGGCAGCAAGCCAGGCAGTGAGTGACAACTGACAACTGACCCAGGGAGCCAGCTCCCTTTATATACATAGCAGCTGTGGTGGTCAGCCACAGCCAACCCTATTTACATAACACTTTGCAAAGTAACAAACCAGACAAACTTCAGCACAATGTAAAAAAACAGAAACTCCGGAAAGAAAACGGCACCTGCGATCTGAATTTTCTGTACGGGCGTAGGCTTTGCCTTATTCAACCGTCCTGCTACATAGGCCGACGCCTCCAGTGCTGCCGGGGAGAAGGGTTTTCTATGGTGTGCAAAGTAACGAACCAGACAGACGGACAGGGCTCCCGTGGACGGGCTGGCAGGGCTGCCCAGAGGGCGACCCTCCCGGGGCAAAAGCAGAAGCGGGAGCCAAAGGCTGCGCCACGTAGAGGAAACTCAGCGCGCAGATGCAGTTTTGTTGCGGGGCTTTCCGTGTTTGCACTTCCTCATCTGCTCCGCGGGACCAGGAGCAACGGAGCTGGGGGCGCTTTTGAAAGTCAGGGTGGAGGCCCTCCGGCCCCTTTGCGCCCCATGGACCCCTCCTTTCCTGGCCCTTCTTGGGGGCTCAGATGCAAAGAAACCTTTCTCCTTTTTCTTTGCTTTTTGCTTTGGTTTTGCTCGCCCTCCCTCTCCCTGCGAAAACGCTCCCCCCCCAGCGCCCCCCTCCCAAGCTCCATTTTGGCTGCCAGAGCACCGGGGGCCACTCAGCCGCCGCTTCCCATGGGGGCCCCGCGGGCCTGGAGTTTGAAGCCCTGGGCGAAGGGCTGGAGTCGGAGGAGCCTCGGAGGTGCAGCCGTTAGAGAGGAAGGAGGCGGAGCTCCGCCACCGATTGAAGCCGGGGAGGGTCGTGAGTTGCGCGGAGAGGAGAAGGAGACGTGAACAACGGCGAGTCTGCAGGTGGGGATGCGGCGCCGCTCGGGATGGGGGGGCCGTCCACTCCCGCCGCTCTCGCCCGGGGCAGAAAGAGGGGCAGCGGGAGCCTCCGGACAGGTCGGAGGGGCTCCGAGGCGCCCGCCGGTAGTCAGGGAGAGGGGAGGGGGACCTCGGATCGGCCCCCGAGGGGCTCCTTTCCTCGATGCAGCCTCCTTTTCCTCGGCTTTGGGTTTTCCTCTTGAAATGATACACCGCCCAGAGTCTCTCGATGCGGAGTAGCTAAATTCCAGGAAGAAAATGAAATGTAAGCGGTGGGATCCCCTCCTTTCCTCCTTCCTCGCTTTAGCTCTTCCCCCCATCTGAGACGGAGACCCCTTGAAAGAAAGGGAGAGGAGGATCAGCCCTCAGATAAACGTGTCCTGCGGGACCCCTGGGATTTTGGATGAATCTTCCTCTGGGATCACCGGTGTAACTCTGACTCTTACTTTCCTTGTTGCAGGACCAAGGAGCCTGGAGGTGTCCCTCCCTCCGGCCCTCCCACCAGGGCCCCCCAGATTCAGAGGTCAGTTTGTGGAGGGGCTGGAATCTCCTTGGGCCTTTCAGCTCTGGCTCTCTTGGCCCCCTCAGGGGCTGAAGGGGGACGTGGGAGGGGAAGATCCGCCTGGGAGAGGGAGGGAGACTCCTTGGCTGCCAAGGGAGCCCCAAAGCCCCTTCCTTTCCTTACCTGCCTTCACCTATTTTAGCATAAAGAGGTCAAAGTTAAGCTCTTGACAAATGTTGAGGCATCTTCAGTCTGTGTGTCTGTGTGTCTGTCTGTATCTGTCTGTGTTTTCATCTCTGGTCAATTGTCCCCTTGCAGGTGCAAACGAAGCCCAGAGAGGATTGGATCTGAAGGTGCAACTGGGCCTTTCTCGAGTCTCAGGTGAGGCTCTGCCTTCCTCGCGTTTCTCCGGGCACCCACCGTTCCTGGGAGGCCCTGAGTAAGGACCCTGGGAGGGAAACTGGATGGGGGCCGAACGCCCCAAATCACACACCCCCAGGAGCCACGATGGCGACCAACAGCCTGAATTTGACCTCTGTTGCTCTTGCAGCTCCGATGGATTCCAGCCTGCGACCAGTCTTCAGATCCAGCCTGAGAATCCTCCGGTTGGAGGTGAGAGGAAAGAAGCGGGGATCCTGCTCTGACAGCCAGCCCTGCAGAGGAATTGCCTGCAGCATGCAAGGCGGGTGTGGGGGAGGGTCTCGGTGGCACCCAGTGAGAATTGGTCAATGCTGGGATTCCCTGGGGATCCCATCTCTAGGACCCAGAGCTCAGCATCCTCTCCTCCTCCTCAGTGTTGAGTTCGGGAGAACCCAATGCTGCCCTGTGCCAACTGATATAAGATTTCAGAGGGAAAAATTACAAAACAATCCCATCCAAGAGCCGATATTCCTTCTGAACAAATTCTAAGGATATTCCCATATCAAGAGATGGGGACATTTTAAATCCAATGTGTTCTTTATGTCTCCAATTTGTCTTATATTGGTCTTCTATTTGTTTTTTTCAGGTGGATCCAGAGAGGCAGCATATTTTATTCTGCTCTTGGGCTTGGTGGTTAAGGTAGTTCCAGGAAGTGGCCCTCTCCAGCCTTGAGGTTTGTTTGCAGCAGAATGATCCACCATCGCCCACCCCTCCGTCTATCCACCCACCCGTCCACCCCGTCCTTCTGGCTTCTCACAGGTCTGCATGCCCAGATCCAGCTGGTGCCTAAGGAGGTTTCTTCAGGACTCTCCCAGACACTCCACGGAACAAAGAGCAAAGTCTTTATCAGCAGAGACTCAGCAAAAGGCCGGCCATCTTCATACTTTCCTCTCTGAGCAGTTTCATACACAGGTCGTCCTTGAATAAGGACTAAGTCAACGGCTGCCTTAGTGACCATTCAAAGTTTCAATGGCACTGAAAAGGGTGAATTACGACTTACAGCAGTTGCAGGATCCTCACGGTCTCCTGGTGAACATTCAGATGCTTG